TGCCCCTTGTCCCTGCCTCTGTGCTCCAAGCGTCCCTCCTGCCCCCGGCTGCGCACGGGGGTTTCTCCTACCTCCTGGGGGTTGCGACAGCAGAACTGGCACGGAACGCAAGAAAACGGGCAAAGAAACCAACCGAAAGGAAAAACAAAACCAACCCGTGACTGGGTGACTTGGAAATGTGACCCATGCAGAGAAGTCCTCATCAAACGCAAACCTGTGGACAAAAAAAGCACAATTTTTCCCCTCCCGCTCCCACCCGCCCTCCACTCCCCGAATAATTATTACATTACTTCAAGAAAGAGTATATTTTTCTTCATGCATAAATCAAATTTTCATCTTGTCTTTTTTTTTGTCTTTTTTTTTCATCTTCTTTAAATTACATTTGAACACAGAACACATATAATAAATACTCTTGTACGACATGACTCAGAGAAAAGTAACACATCTGAACGCAAAGGTATCATCATCATTATTAGTTTTTCTTTTTTTTTTCTTTTTTTTTAAAAGGACTTGTTTAAATATGAAATCTGTAAACTCCAAGGGTCCTTTTATTTTTAATCTTTCTCTCTCTCTCTCTCTCTTTCTCTCTTATTTTTTTAATCGTGAAACTATCCAGCTTTCATTTCCTTAACATTCAATATGTCTCCCATTGAACGCGTCAAAGAAATAAGAACATGCCGTCTTCTGCAAAATTATAATTTAACAGTATAAAGCTTCAAGTCACAAATTCCAAAAACTAGCTAAGTAATTTTTTTTTATCACATAAACTATACATTAAATATTTTGAGGTATTTCAGAGAACATTGTCAAAGGCTTGTAAGGTCTGTGCTGGGTGGAAAAGGCGGCTTTCTCCTGCATAGAGAACGTCTTTGGTATCACGAGCCATGTGGGTGGTGAGGAGGAGGAGGGTGGCGCGGCCAAGGGGTCGCTTGGGATCTGGCCAAGGCAATAAGGTGGAAGAGGAAGAGGACGGGACATGGGGGTTGGGCAGGAGAGGTGTTTTGGGGATGGTCCAACCTGCTCTTTTGGTATGTTCAGCCCACGGGATGGAGAGGTCAGGGCTCAGGCAACAATATGGGAAGTTCCTTGGGATCCAGGCTCAGTGTGGGGGAAATACGGACCCTGGGCAAGTTTGGTCTGATTCCAAGGGAGCTGTTTCCCTTGGACTGCCTTGGGCAGACCCTGTTTGGATGGAACAGACAAGTTCAGGAGCATGTTGGAGCACATGCTTGTGCTCGACTTTGACTTAAAGCTCTCTGAGACTGGGCATCTGCGTTGGGACCACTGCCTGAATCGGAGTTTGCTCCCAGCCCGCTGGGAAGCGACCTCTTGGCTCCAGGAATCTGCAGCATCCAGGCCCTAAATACAGACAGGAAAAGGGACGGGATGTCCCTGAAGTTTGTGCGACACGCACGCTCGCTTTGTGCCAAGGTGAGGAAAATGGTTCAGCTCAAACCTTTCTTCTTCCATAAGCAGGGACAAGAGCTGCTCCAACTGCATCAGACCTATGTGTTGGATTGCTGCTGGAATATCGTAACTCGGAAAAAAAAGGATGAAAAAATCAGGAGGGAGAAGGAGCCAAGTCTTCAACCCAAGATTTCTCTAAATTAGACATTCTAGGGGTTTATGTGCAGGAGCATCTTCCATGGCCTTTTTTATTTGGAACATGGATTCTCACGAATTGAAAACAATGTAGGAAGGAATCTATTTGAGCTGAAGCAACCTCTGATCCGTAACATGACCAACCTGAATATTCTGGGACCTTACTGGCATTTGATATCTGCTGTTGAGGCCTGTGTGGCTGGAGGGTGCTCACAGTCTGGACTTGATGCTGTTGTGCAGCCTCTCACCCAATGGGCCAAAATCACCCCATGAGGAACATCAAAGAAGTTCCCTTCCACATCCCTACAGCGATGCCTTGTGAGAAGGGACGTAGCCATGGATTGAGATCCAAGGTTGATGCTCCTGGGGAAAAGCCAGGCTGGAGAAAGGGGCTGGACAGAGGGACCCTGGGGACCAGAGCAGCTTTGAGAACCCCAGGAGGTCCAAGAGGAGGAGCACACCAGGAGGGAGGGGAGATGATTTCAATTATTTTAGGAAAAGGGTTTTTTGTTTTCTCCATCCCAACACCCAAAGACTACAAGAGTTACAAGAATCCATCCGTTTGGAGAGCTGAGGTAATCGTGAGTCTTTAGGGCAAAAGCAGAGGAGCAAAGAAATGGCCACACACCTTTGGTACAAGAAAAAGGCACTCATCTACCACGCTACCATCCCGGGGTCGCTCACTCGCCTTCTCTCTCGCGCTCGCTTGCGGGGACTCAACAGGGCTGCAAGGGGGGGATCCGGATGGGGGTGGCCCCGAACGGGGCCGGGGAGCAGGGAAAGTGGCGGTCCCAGCACAGACCAGACAAGGCAACAAAATCTTTGGTATCAGACGTGATTTTCAAATCACAAAAATTGAAAACTCAAGTGAGGTAGCCTTTATTCTCGGGTTCTCACTAGAAATGTCTTTGCATCCTTGAGGGCCTGTGGCATTTACTTGTGTTTTATTTTTCCCCTTTTCTTTCCTTTTTTTCTTTTTTTTTCTTTTCTTTTTTTTTTTTTCTTTTCCTGTGTTTTTCTGTGTGGGTGGTTTTTTGTTTGTTTGTTTGTTTTTAACTTCCCAAACCAAGGCCCCCTTCCTGGCTTTTCAGCCCTTGAACACCACCCGATGGGGTCCAGGGATCCGCCCCCATCGTCACCATGTCACGACAAGACAAGAAGAAACAACGTCAGGGGAAAATCAGTGGCAGGGAGCAGGGTCTTGGGGAATGAGATTTGCTTTGTCATTAGGGTTCTTTTCTTTTTTTTTGATTTGGTTTTGGGGGATTTGTGGTTGGCACCTGCCATTTCCCGGTCCTTCCTTCTCTCCCTCTTTCCCACCCTTTTTTTCCTAGCAGGAAATTGTTTCAGGTTGTGACCGTGTCCAGCCTGGCACCCCCGGCCCCACCATCTCCCACCTACCCCATGAGCTGTCTGCTTAGGGCTGCATCTGCAGGGATCTTCCTTGCTTTCCTTTCTCTTCTATATATTTATTTATTTATTGGTGGGGGGTATTTCCTTTTTTTTTTTTTTGGTGTATATACACACATTTTTTTCCTTTCTTTCCTTTTTTTTTCAACAAGGTGCCTTCCTGTTACACAACAGATCGCTCTCAAAGTAAAGTGAATCGAAGAAACCGTAGCGCTAGAACACAGATGGTACTATTTTACCCGCATCAATTCAATATTGTCCCTTTTTGTGTTTGTGTGTGTGTATGTGATTTTGGAGGATTTGGTTTTGGTGGCGGGGAAGGAGGGGAGCTCGCTGTCCCCTCCATCCCCAAGTCTCTCCCAGCCTTTTTGGGTCCCCGCGGCACCTCCTTCTCTCCTGTCCCCAAGGAGACCCCAGGGTTTGGTGGCCACGGCCAGGATGACGGCTCATTGCAACGGTTTGGCCTTGGAATTGCTTTTTTTTTTTAATCTATGGCACAAGTCCCCAGCGAGAGCTCGGAGGAAACACTCGTGTTCAAAGCTAGTACCATTGCTCCAGAATTGCGCATTTTTAAGGCAGGTTGTTAATTGGCACAAAAAAAAAAAAAAAAAAAAAAAAAAAAAAAAAGGTTTGTCTTTGTACGTCGCCGGTCTTTCCATTGAGCTTGTTTGGTTTGGGGTTTATGGTTTTGGTTGTTTTCCCCTTTATATTCTTCTTCTTCTTTTGGTGTATTTCTCCCCTTTCTCACGCATAGGGCTTGATTTCGCATCCAGATCCGTGGTATTTGCTTTTCCTTGTACTCCGACGTCGCTTCCCCGGAGGGATTTTTGTTTGGTTTTTGGTTTGTTTTTTTCAATTTCTTTGGTAGCAGAGATGAAGACGGGGGATGGGGCTGGGGACAAGAGTGCGTGTGTCGAGGGCAGGACGGGGCAGGACACAAAGCCAACAACCCAGTGCCGGAGCTCGTTCCTCAACCGAGAAGTAAACGAGGACCCAAGCGGTGAACATGGTGAGACTGGCCTGGCCCCACCGAGCCAGGCGCTGGGAAAGATCCTTCGCTCCAAGTCTTTCCTCATGTCTCTTTGCAGACAATTCCTATTCAAATACCCGATTTCTGTCGCTAAAAATGTGCTTCTTGACCTGCTTGGGCTCGAGGCGTCGCGGTGCGAGCTGCAGTCCCCCCGCGGCGGCCGGGCTCGGGGATGCACCGGGTGCCTCCGCCGGCTCTTTGGCTGGGAGGGACCCGGGGGACGGCGGCTCTCATGGGTTGGGGACGTCCATGTGCGTGGGGACTTGGGGCCAGTGGGTGCTCTTGGGTGTGTTGCAAGGTCAGTGGGAGGAAAGTGCCTGGTGGAGGAGACTGAAGCACCCAAGGGTGCAGGGAAGCCCTCGATCAGGTTTCCCAAGGCTTCAAGCATGAGAAACGCCCGTGATTCAGTAGGAGAGAAGCTCTGGCTGCTTGGGGACACCTTAGGGTATCTACATCTTAGAAAGCTTCAAGAACCAGAGGGTGCAGCCAGGAGAGTTTTCCTTGCTTGTCTCTCCTCAAATCACAAGGGTTTTAGCCCCAGTCTGGGGGGGTTGTGCCACCTCTCATATCTCAACCACCTTTCCCCACCACAGCGGTTGGACACCTTGAGGTGGAACTGGCCCCTCTCCTTGGAGGCTGGACTCCGGCGGGTGGGTGAAGACAAGGCTCCGTGGCAGGGTTGCTTCTGAAACAGCATCTTGCCCTCTCCCTCTGTCCGTGTCCTCCTCCGCCCAAACGGGGGTTCATCTCAGCCCTCCTGGGGCAGAGGAACCAGCCCAGTTCCCTTAATCCATGAGCTTGGAGGACCTGGCAGTGGGAGCCCCCCGAGGGCTCAGGGACCCGCGGGGCCCAAGAGCACCCACCCGCTCGGTTCGGCCGCTGCGGGTATGTGTGTGAGTCTGGGATTGGCTTTGTCATGAGGAGGACATCGGGAGAGGGCAGGGAGGGCTGGGGGACATCATGCTTTGGAGAAAGTGCTTGTAGAAGAAGAAGGGACTCCAGGGTTGGTGCCAGGTTCCTCCTGCCAGCGGTTCATGCACCGCCGGCGGGCGTTCATGAAGAAGTTGCTGACAGTGTTGAGCTCCAAGCCGAGTTGCTGCGAGATGGTCATCTGCATCTCTTTGGACGGGCGCTTGTTCTCCTTGAAGATGGCGATCAGGGTGCGGCGCTGCAGGTCCGTGAAGACCAGCCGCTGCTTCTTGGGCTGCAGGCTCCTGTCTTTCTGCTGCTCTTGCTCTTTGCGTTTGCAAGCTAGACGTTCAAAAGAGAGAACAGGGCCATTAATTGGTGCTGACCAACCTGGCCTGCTTGCAGATTGCCTGGCTGCCTCCCAAAAACCAGGCCCTTCCCTCTAGTGAAACTGATGGCTTTTTGCCCACCTCTCCCTTGGCTTCCTCCCTCCTCTTCCTCCCTTTGCCTCTTGGGCTTCTGCTGAGAAGGGACAACAGCTCCTTGCAAAATTACTCCAAAAAAGCCCAGGTGAAACCCAGCAGCGCAAGCAACTTTTCAGATGGCTGGAAAAAGCCCAAGTCTCAGCACATCCTGATTATCCTGGTGCTAGATGAAACTCCTGGCCCCTCCCTGCCCCCACTGCCTGCCCTGCTCCTAAACCCTTGGCTTGTCCATCAGGCTCCCTTCCTTGTTCTCTCTCTGGCATGGGCACTGTTGCCGCTTCCTTGTGTCTTGCTGGAGGACATGGGGAACCCGTGTGTTTTGGCCACCACATCCAGCTGCCAATGCCAAACCAGCAGGGAATAGCTGGTGACAGGGATAGTACGGGAAGTCTGGTCTGCAGCCAGCATGTTTCCTGATGAAGATGAAGAATGAGGCAGAAAGAATGGAAGGAGCGCTCTTGTGCCCACCTCATCTGGGAAGGAGGTTTCTTGCCCTGAAGAGCAGCCTCCAGGAAATTCAGGCTTCCCTATGCTCCATTTCTACATATCCTTTGGCACATGTGCCAGGTTGAACCAGCACCTAATTAAAATCTCCACTACTCATTTGGCTTGAGCATTAGGTCAGGAGAGAGGTGCTGTCTGTCCTTAGCAAATGGAAATTGGGTGCAGGGAACCAGGAAAGCCCCTGTGACATTTCCACGCTGTGTGCAAGGAATGGAGGGATGTGGCTAGACAAATTTGGGGAAATACATGAATTTTAATAGCAGGAATATCAAGCAAACTCTTGGTGGAAGTGGTGACTTTCTAATTATACTTTCCTAGACAGTAATATAGTCATAGAATAATTGAGGTTCATGAAGGTCCAGCACCTACTGGAAGCAAGACCAACTCGTAGCTATGCTGAACTTTAAGATCTAGGTGCTCGGGGCCTTGGCTGGGTCAAGACTTGGCTGGATGGATGTGGGCACAGCTGGAGCACGAGGCGCCCATTGGCGGGGCCAGGCATGGATCCAGCCTTCCAAGGAGCTCCCAGGAGCTTTGAAAAAACAGTCAGGAAATTGCAGTCCAAAATCTTTCTGGGAAAGCCCCGCTCTTGCCCTGAATGGAGCAGCAGTTTTCCGGATTGGATTTTCCAAAGACTTCTGCAGTGAGGGTGCAGCTCCTTTGAGACGTTCGCTCTGCAGAGGTTGCCGGTGGCCACATGCTTCTCTCAGGCACTTCCAGGAGTCTCCTACAGCTGGTGCAAAGCCCTCTGAGAGCCCGGAGGTCACGGCCGAGGGCTGCTGCTGCAGCGATGGGACATCCGCTTGGGTCCACGGGCCGCTTTCTCCTTTCTGGCTACCTACCCTTGCTTAAGGTCACCTGCGCTACTGTTCCTCTTTGCACCATAGGCACCACAGCGAAGGGTGATGTCCACCGCTCCTACCCAAAGCTGGAGGAATCCAGCGCTCAGTGCAGCATTTTTGACGTCCGACAAATGCAACCCTTTTCCCCAGCTGCTGGGCACTGTCCTGGCCCCATCCCAGGGGGTAGCAGGAGTCAGCGGCTCTGTCCCCATTTGGGGACAGGGGATAGAAGACAGCAGGATTAGCATGACCAGATACACTAAATCCAAACCAGTTATCCCTGGTAAAGGTGGTTAGAGGAAATCCTCCCCTTCCCTCCCCTTCCTCCCCTCCCAGGTCTTGCAAAAGGCCCTGAGTTCAGAGGCTGGGAACCAACACCCTAAGGGACAAGGGACAGTTTCAGCCCTGGTGGTGCTGGGGGAACCTGTCCCAGGGGTCCCTTACTCAAACAGCCAGCAGAGAATGGTTTAGTGGAAACCTACCCTATGACCATCAGATGCTTGCAAAAAGAACAAACAAAAAAAGCCTTTATAGAAAATTCGACTTTTTTTTTCCCCAGGCATGAAATAAAAGAACCTCCCCCCAACCAAATCACCCCCAAAACCCAACCGACAAGCAGGACGCGTCCCTCCCCACGGTGACGTGCACGTTGAGCACAGCGTGTCCCCCGGCAAGCCCCTCGCCCGCCCTCGCCCCCTTCCTGCCTCTGCCCCGCATGCCCTCCCCATGCCCACCTTGCTGGCGGAACCGTCCTTGCCCCGTCCTGCGGGTGCAGCAGGGACACGGTGACACGGAGAAGCGCGAGGTGGCTCAGTCTGCAGGTCACCTGCTTGAGACGCCCATTGGAACCACCTATAGATCTCCATATCTTATACAACCATGCGTATACAGCTGTGCGCATGCATGCGTGTGCACACATCCATATCTGTGTGCACCCATGAGAAATGTCAGGGGATGGGTGCCAGTGCAGGCATCCCGTGCCAACCCGGTTGTGCCCATAGTGAAGCCACCGGGATCCAGGCTGTGGATCCATGGAGCAGCTCCTGGTCTCATTCGCCAACCTGCGACCCAGTAGCTCATGTTTTCAAACCCGTATTTTTTTCCCCATTCAGTTATTAGGAGTAATTATTACTCGCCAGCTGCCTATTAATACCTGACAGTTCCATGGCAGACGCTAACAGACCCGGCATGAGTACAAGTGCCAAGCAAAAATGATTCCAATTGCCAAGAAAAATACCAAGCAAAAGTGTCTTCAGCAAAAATGATTTTACCCTCCTGCTCATATTTGGCTGGGGCTGGAGCCGCGGGCAGTGGCGTTGGAGGCGGACGGGTCCCGTTTCCTGCGCTTGTTTGTTTATTTATTAATTTATTTTTCCGCTGACGCAGCCCCGCACCCCTCTCCCTGCTCAATCTAATTACAGCTCCGCGCAGCAGAAATCGATAGGCATGCACGTCGGATCTATTCACAGCGGCCTCTCGGTGGAGGCTCTTTTTCCTATTCCTCTTCTGCTGCTTTCCTGGGGTGGCCCTCACCTCCTGAACCTGGTCAGGGCCACCAAGGCGTCCCTAAAAGTGCTGCGACAGGAGAGGGCTGGGCAACGCATTTACTCCCGGCCAGACAGCGGACAAGGATTTTCCTTGTGATTCCAAATACCTCTTGCTAGGCCCATGGTCCAGGTGACTCATCTTCACCCACTGCTCTTCATCCGCCTCCTTCTGTGGCTCTCTGGGGCTGTCCCCCCTCCATGGGGATGAGGACACACTTCAGCGGCGCTGCCACCCCTTTCTTGAATTATTTCCCCTGCCAACACCCAAATACAGGATTTATTCCCTGATTTGTCCTGCTCCCTGGTTCTCCTGGGACAGATGGGTCCCTGATGGCACCTGGACCAAGGACGGGGGACAAGGACTGATGTTCTCCATAGCCACAAGGCACAGACTATGTGGATGCTCCGATGTCTAATAAGGGAGGAAGACCTTGGAAGGCAAAGGCCTCCAGCCTACTTCCCCCCAAGGAGCTTCTGTTCCAGGTTTCTCCCTCCTGGGAGACTTAGGTGGGAGGGAGAGCGTTTTCCTTGACTTAACCTTGACGGCTCAAAGCAAAATATCTCCCAAATCATTTCTAAAGGGACATAATAGAGACAATCAAATGGCTGCTGCTCAGAAGCTGCGATTATGCCTCGCAGCGTGAACTCCGCGGAGCATTTAACTAATATCTGATGGCTTTGCAGGCTTCCGCACCCGCCAGACGGCGGTTTCGCTATTATAGCCGCAAAACCTCGGTTTTCTCAGCCCCAGCGTGCTCTCCCTCTCCATTCACTTGCAATACAACCTGCAATTTTCTGCCCACTTTGCTTAAGTGCTGGTGATTTGTTGAAATCACAAAAGACAGCCAGGGCCTTTCAGAGCCAGCACGAGGGCTGCAAGCGAGGTTGCAGGCAGGGGGAAATCAAAACCAGCGTTTTTTTCTCCTTTTCTCCCTGTCAAATTGGCTTGCAGCAGTGTGAGGAGGGCAGCAGAGCATTAAAGGGCTCGAAGGGACAGAGAAGGGTTCTGGGATCGTGCTCAATTGGGCACGTGGGTCATGGGACAGGCTGGTTTTCCTGGCGGGCACCGGCTGGAAGGTGGCACAGGGTGAAGGTGGCACCTCCCTGCGCTGGACTGGTGCCCAGGGATGGGAGCAGCCCCTGGGACACTCATTTTGCCTCAGTTTCCCCCTCTCCTTGAAGGGGCAGAGGGAACCCCATCTCTTTGGCAGAGAGGGGGATATTTTGACAACACGTGTTACTGTTTCAGGCTCTGCCTTGGGCGTTTTGGAAGGTTTCAGGGACTTTGAGCGAACAGGGAATAACCCAGTGCCTCCCACTGTGGGGATGGAGTCCGAACCAGTTGCGTCTAGGCTGAAGACTCCAGGCTGAGGGGTGAGTGAGCAACAAGGTGGGAAGGAAAAGTGCTCCAAAAAAAGCCAATACGTTTTTTTGTTGTTGTTGAAACTCCATTTGATTGCAAAACACTAATGAACACACAGTCAAAGGGGATTTAGTGTCAACCACACAACTCTCCAGCCCGTCTAAAGGAAGACGGAGGTGTTTGCTGTGAGCAGGGATCCAGATCACAGCCGAGAACCTAGGAAAGGGCACGTTTCAATCCCACCCCAGCTCTCTGTGCTGCGTTTTGTACGGAATGCAGCAGCTCAGGAGCAAAAGCAGAAGGTAACAAGAACTGGTGAAAATACAAATCTTTGCAGGCCCAAAAAGACCCACACAACATGCAAAGGGGAAATCATTTTCCTCAGTATTTACAAATAAAAGCCCTGTGAGAAGGTATAACACTATTTTTAATGGTCAGACTTTTTTAATGGTCATGAAAAGGAGCAGTTTGGAATGCTTTTGATTTCACTTGTTTTCCTTGTAAAATAATTAAAACCAACACTAGATTTCAATGGAAGTCAAAGAATCTCAGCGAGAGGCGGATTGAGAGCGGCCCTGGTCGCTCTGTGGCCGCTGGGGCC